AAAAATGTCATTTTGACAAAAAAGAGTGCCGACTGGCAACAAAAAGTGCCGACCGGCAGAAAATATTGCCGATGGCAGCAAAAAACCAGCCGGTGGCCTGTGGCTGCGGCCGGTGGTGTGTGGGGATGCCTCACAAGGCATTTCTTGCCCTTCCAAGGCAAAACACAAGTGTTTGGGGCAAAACACAAGTGTTTGGTGCAAAACCAGACACAAAGCGGTCGAGTTCAGAGATCCTGAGGCAGGGTGCGTAGCCGAGACCTCCGGGAACTTTAAACGAACACAAACATGGACAATCACCGAGTGTTCCAATGGTGACGTCCAAGTCTTGAGGACGGTCAAAAATGGAGTGTCTACAATAACCTGAAATTAGCACAATTTTAAAAAAGAAAAAAAGGAAAAAAAAAAGGGGCTATCACGGCGTTTCTAAAACGTCGCTACGTTTCTAAAGCGCCATAGAGTTATAGCGGCGGCCGCTTCTTCGACGTTTGGTGCTAAACGTCACACAAAAGATTTAACGGCGTTTTTAGGACCTATCGCGGTGTTTTTTAAATGCCTCTAAAACCTGAATTTCCAGCAGTGCTATCAATATAATAAAGAAAATTTAGAAGTCATTCGTTATTTAGATGCTAATTTTTCTAGAGACATTGATGATTGAAAATCCACATCAAGTTATATATTCCTCCTAGGTGGACGTTCAATTTCATGGTGTAGTAGAAAACAATCATGTGTGACTAAAAGTACAATGGAAGCTGAATGCATAACATGTAGTAATGCAATTTCTAAAGTTGTTTGGATTAAGAGATTGCTTGATGATTTGAAAATAAAAGAAATATCCAAGAAGTCCATAGCCATAATGTGTGTGACAACCAAGCTGCTATAAATAGCATAAAATATGGTGAGACTGCTCAAGGGGAAGACACATAGATCACCAATATCATTATGTTGTTGATATGTTTCAAAGAAATGAGATTGTTATACAATATATTTCTTCTAAAGAAATGGTTGCAAATCCCCTAACAAAAGCTATCGCAACAAGTGATTTTAGAAAACATGTGAATTCAATGGGGACTAAAAATGGTTGAGAATATCTCGGTCTATTGGCCAAGTGGGAGATGTTGGCTTGAGTGGCCAAATAGCCCTCAATATTTCCATATATAATGTTTTAATTTATTTTTATATTTGACTAACATTTTATTATTTAGTTTTTTATTTTATTTACAAAAAAAGATAATGGGTGTGATTGACCAAGTTGACTAAGTAGTTTGATTTGGTCAAACCACTATTAAGTGTTTTCCTACTTAGTATGAGATATTTATGTAGATGAGGGCAATGTGATTATTATCTCCTAATAAAAAGTTGTTATAATATGGATAAATGGTTGAAGATTTGGGTAAGTGAAACCAAGCCCATAATCTGATTTATAGGGAATCTATTTTCTAACGTATATACAGATATGGGTGTGTGAAACAACCCTCACAATTTGATTTTTAGGAAGATAATTTCTAACATATACTTTTGTGTACTTATATTTGTGTGATCCCCAACCATGAAAAAATACACTGTAACCCAAGCACAATATTTACAATATCTTTTCATTATCTATTGCTTTTGCACACCTTTTATTTTTCATATATCAATTCAATTTTGTTGTTGCTGCTGGACATCACAGTGCCATTATAGTTCAAGTTTTTTTGATGCAACATTAACTGTCTGCTATCAGTTAGCCACCATTACTTTTCTAAAGGTTTAGTCCTAAGGAAGAGGTCATGGGGGGTGGCAAGCAATTGGTGTTCTGTAAGGGTGGGCATACTAACTCTTATAGGTGCTAATTTAACGACTAACAATTAACTTTCACCAATCAAGAAAAAAAAAATCATGCTTTCATCTGTAATACTAGCTTTTCTTCCATTCATATTGAAAATGGAACTATACGAATAAAATATGTTTTTTTTTGCCCAAAAAACCAAAACTTTTTTTTTTTTTTTTTTTTGTGGCAAACCTCTTTTTTTTTTTCACTGATCCATTCACAAATTCAAAATACAAATGCAATTGAAAGCTATAACCCAATATAGTTTTTTCACATGAATGTAACACACGAAAAGATGGGATCCACTTCATGTGATAATTATATTTTATTCTGTGATCGATTTTTGTATTTCTATACCTTTTCCATCCTAAATATATAGAGATGAAAAGGAAATGTAGCTTCTCATGACATCATTTGGTGATGGATGTATTTATGTAGCTTATGACATCATTGTGTTTGGATCTTTTGTAATGCCCTCGAAATAATAACATTAAACTAACCATATTCCTTTATTCCTTAGAGTTCCATTACATAAGTATTACATGTTAACATCATAACAAAATGCCCTACGGGCTTACAGCTTTCCAAGTTAACACTTGGTTACAACAAAAGAGTACTAACTCGTTTACACATTAAGCCCTTGGCTTGAAGTTACATGTAATACATCAAAAGTTAAGCGACAAAAGTATGTCCGCCTCTAGCCTCCCAAGCTATGTCCTTGGAACCACACAAATAGGAGATGCTAACTGTGCTAACTCCAATTCCAAAACAGATGCAAATGCAGCAGATACAAAAGAATGAGATACACCCGTGTCTATCAACACATTAGCAACCGAGTTGCAAAACAGAAAAGTACCTCTCACTACTAAAATTGGCGACCCAAATCTTGATACATCTTAGTACCTCCCGGATGCACCGCAAGGCGCGAATGATGAAACTCTCGGAGTACTTCCTCTCGGCAAGACTCCGGTACAAACAAACGGTCTCGGTATCTCACACTCAGGTCGGGATACACCATCAAACCCTTCTCAACTTTCCCACTGGAGATCTTCTCTCGGAGGGATTCTACCTCAAGGTCACCTCTCTGTGCCTCTAACACTCTAATCACAAGTGTAGGCTGCGCAACAACAGAAAACAAGACCGCAGCCTCAACAGATTCGCCCAGTAGCAAATCAAACTCGCCAAGTGCCCCCAGCATCTCCCATTCCCGGATGGCTATACAAGCTACATCACTAATGGTTTATAAACTGAGTTAACCCCACCTATATAACCATAACAAAAACAAATTATCCTCTTCCCCTAAATGCATACTCAACATTAAGAAATCTCTTTAATGAATTATCAACCAAACCCAAACACACCCAAATTGAACAGCACTTTAGCCACACTCCAAGCTTCCATACAATCAAACATTCTCGAGAAAGGAATTGACATAGAACAAGAACCGTCCCATTATAGCCTCATGAACATATCCCATTATAACTTAGCAAACCAACTTGGCCTTTCCGTACCATCCCTCAAATATTCAATTTAAATACCCCTCTTGCACCAAGCCAGATTCGACCGCACTCATTTGCACCTGGAATATTGACTACAGTTTCGCTTGAGCATACTTCTATACATACTTTCCAGCAAAAGAAACCTCATCCACATCCTTCCGCATTATTTTCAAAAATACCGAGTTCCTATCGATTCCATAAGCACCAACACAATAGTAATAAATAAAGCTTCATATACATCTTGGCCAATAAGATTGCAAACCCACTCAAAAGCAATTGGTAATAGGCATAGAGTTGATAACCAATAAAGATCGAGCTAGACATCCAACTGCATCCAAACCAAAAATTGTGAAAACAAATGGCCCACTGTTTCAAACCTCATCTCCACACCACGTACATAAACCATCATTCACAATATGGCGTTTCCGCAAAGTTTGTCCCGAACTGGTAACAAACCCAAGACACATTTATCCAGCCGAAGATCTTGATTTTATTCGAATACGAAGCTGCCATAGAGCTGCACCAAAACTATTTTTTTAACATGCCATCATCAGAGGATACCACCGTGGCCATCTGGATGGCTCATTTCCACACACAAATCGATGCCACGCGATCGCCAGAAAACTCTCCATTCACGTAAAGTGCCAAACCAATTATCCAAATGTAATGTTGGACAAAGAGGAATGCGTCGAATAGCTTCATCATCAATACCACAGAAATTGTTGAGTAAGAACTCAGGTTCACGTCACCATTCTAGGAATCTATCAGGCCCTAACCGTCCATTGTCCAGGAGTTGATGGTAGCAAAATTACCTTAAAAGAATGTTCGTGGAACCCATTTATTGTATAATTTTTTCTCATTTGAAGAAGGTTAATGTTTGATTTAAAAATTAGAAGTAATTGAAAAATAGTATAATTGAGGGTTAGTTAGTATTATCCCCAATTAGATATATATGGAATTAATAGTGTTTCAAACATTATTGTTGATTTTAGGAGCAGAACCAGTGCTGCTCTTCTATATTATATACTATATATATATTTTTTTTTTTGTTGAATTTTGTTACATTTTCCTATTTATCACCCAGTTGTTGTTTTAATGAAGTGTTAAGGAGGTAGAACTTTATATATAATTAATATGGTAACAAATAAAATTGAAACTAC